AGGGTCTTTTCCAGGGAGTCTTCTCTTCTCAAGAGATGGCCAAAGTACTGGAGCTTCCAGTGAGCACTCTGGGTTGATTTCCTTCAAAATGGATAGGTTTGTTCTCCTTGCAGTCCAGGGGACTCAAGAGTCGCCTCCAGCACCACAATTCAAAAGCAGGAGGAACTAACTTGAAGGCAAAAGTCTACAAGGCGTCACTTACAGAAAACAAAGGGATCAAGATCCCCAGTCCTACCTGACTATCTTTCTGTTGTTCTCTAGTGCATTGCTCCCCAAACTTGGGCCTCCAGATGTTCTTGGACTTCAGCTCCCAGAAATCCTGGCCAGCACAGTGGTGAAGGCTTCTGGGAGTTGTAGTCCAAGAACATCTGGAGACCCAAGGTTGGGGACTACTGCTGTCTAGTGGTTATTTGAAATGCAGTATTGCGGCACTTATTCTAACAGGAGTAGAGCCCAACAGTTACAGTGCTGTTATATTTATCTCCCTTTATTTTTTACTTAAATGAGCTCCGCTGACTTTCCATGCTGAGATTTATGGATTTTTCCCTCACATCTATTACATATCATGCTGCCAACTGCTTCTTTCCTATTTCCTCTGTTCATTTTGAGTAAATTATGTATCCTTGAATAATTTCATTCCAGTTGTCAATCTCATCCTACCAGCTTGAGTAATACCATCAAGTAGCTGTATTTGCCTTCCTTGATCAATGGTATGTCTTGTCCCTCTTTTGGCAGGAAGGCGAAACAAAAATGGTTGGTTGGTTGTCTGCGAACAATTGTAGTGAAGATAAATGAACTGCAGCTATATCATGCTGTATTTCAAAGGAGTACATGACAGAAAACTGGTTCTATTTCGTCAAAGTACAGACTGCAATATGCTGGAGGTGTTAGGAGGAAAAAATCTAACATTGTTACTCAGGAAACAGGAGCTGAGCTAAGGATACAAAGTCAGCATACGTTTTCATGGCATGGATGTCAGACGTGGCCAGTTTGGAAGCGTAGGGAATTGTTTTGACCTGTTGAATTTAGGAAAAAGCTTTATGCTTTGACTACAAAGGAATCAGGGCATTAGACCATCTAGATCAGTATTGTCAATTCTGACTGGCAGCTGCTCTCCAGAGTTTCAGGCAGGAATCTTTCCAGGCCTTTCCTGGAGATCCTTGGTATTCCTTGATGTTCTCCCATCCTGGTACTAACTGGCCCTGGACCAGTTTAGCTTCCAAAATAAGGCAAGATCAGGTTTGCTCTGTATGCTGCAGTGTTGAACATCTGTGGTTGGACCATTTTAAGCCCGTCTGATTTGATTCAGTATTGGCATTGTTGTTGGGGTTTTTTCCCAGATAGGTCTCTGCCATTTTATTTATATTTCAGAAGCTAAGTCCTTTCAAAGCTGTTGCATGTTTTGGCTGACTCTTCTCTGCCTTATTTTTTCACTGAGGTTTCGTCTGTGGAAATGTCACCAAGTGTGGAGCTGGGAATGCTTGGCAAGAGTTTTTATGAAACTGGATTGGGCAGTTCAGAGGCTCAGATTCCAAGGGAGAGGCTGGGAAATCCTGTTTCCTGGTGCCTTTCTCAACTGAGCAACTCTTCTCAGGGAGTGAGCCCTGGACAAGAAAAAACACCCATTGCAAACATTTGCATAAGGGTTTCTTACTGTTGTTCAGCACAGCAACAAACCCTGCTTCGTGGAATACTAGACTGTTCAACTATTTAAAAACACATTGCTATAAAAACGTGGGGGAAGAAGTAAACTTGGACATATTCTGGAAGAGGGTGAGTATTTATGTTCCTCTACATGTTAAGCCCAATAGACTGAGATGATGATATTTGTTAGTGAAGTTCTTACATCTAACCTGGTCAGTTAAGATAGAAGTTGACACACTCTATTCCCTATTAGCATTTCAGATATCTAGAATGTTATGTCCTTCCTCACTCCCAAGTACATAGTAGATACAGACATATATTTTTCTGTTTTTCACTGTGGTGCCCAGCAGCTGATGTTTATGCCTTGAATAATATAAGTAGTTCCCCTTTTAACGGAGCCTTTTGGGAAGAATAGAAATCTCTCATGCTGGTGCTGCTAGGTAGCATTGCAAGAGAAGAGCTTCTAGTCTTAGAATAATTTACCTTTATGTTAGGGAATTTCTATTTATATTTTATTGAATGTTAGTGTTATTACTTCCTTGAAGTACATGAGAAACTTTTGTCCTCAGATGTGAATAGAAAACAAGGAATAACTGGCCCAAGGGGTCCTATTCAGTTCACATGTAAAACCACTTCATTCTAATGTGGAAATATTTTATAGGCGTCTGACACTGAACACAAATTATTAGTCTAACCACCAAGGGTCTCAAATCCTGATGGTGTAATTATCACATGTTTGTGTGATGTGTATTTGGATGAAGCATTGGATAAATAAGGACTTAGTTTTCGTCTGTAAAAAAAGTTTATTTGCTACTGTATTCCTAAACAATTGTAATAAGTATATTGTGTTCAGTGTGCCCTGAGGAAAGCTTATTTTTGCCATGTTACTGCTATTAACTACTGTGGAGGAGCCTACTGTTTTTGTTGACAGGGAACATCTCAAGAATCTAGTTTTCTATTACATCCAAACAGTGCTTGAACATTTGAGTGGAAATATTGAAGGGCGATGTTTGGGGAGAGGCTCTGTTTTTCATGAAACTTGTATAGGTAGGTAGGTAGGTAGAGAGAGGGGGGGGCATTTTTGTGTTTCACTGATTGGTAGGTAGGTAGGTAGGTAGGGAGAGAGAGGGGGGGGACATTTTTGTGTTTCACTGATTGTGACAACAAACAGATTAATACGTGTAAAATGTTTATGGAGTTGAAGGCAGGAAGAGTCCTGGAAATACAGAATTGCCATAATTTAAGAAACTAACCTAATCTGTAGAAGACCTAATCTCTTCCATAAATATATATTGAAAATCTGAAAGTAAAAACAAAAGTTTCTGCCACTTTATACTAGGAATAAGAAATTATAGAGGGGTAGTTACGTTAAAGCAACTTTACTCATTAATAATTATGTAGTGGGTTATCCCTACTTCAGTTCACAAGCAGTAGCCAATTTTTGGTATGGTATGTGTTTGATTGGTAAGGTGCTTCCACTTTCTATCATTCCCATATGGTGTTGTGAATGTCATCTATATTCTGTTCATAGAAATTTACAGCATCACGTGGAGCTGAACTGGAACAAATCCAGCTGGATAAATTTCATTCTCAACCTTCTGTAATCGAAATTCACTTGCTGACTCACACTAAGAGTCATGATGTGGAAGATGCAGAAGGAATTAATCTTGAGTCCTCTGTGCCCTTTATTCCCACCCTCTGACTCAGGTTTCTTTCTGAACAGATGGAGACTGTCCTCTGAAACATTCAGCTATTTTCCACCTCTGCTTCCCCGTGGGAGTCAATCTGATTTTCAGATCAGATGGTTGAAACTCTGATTATCGCCCTCTGTGGCAGCAAAAATGTTTGCACCTTAAACCAGACACACAACTTCAGCAGCCCTTGAAATGGGTATTTTGAAGCTACTTTTTCATCAGAATATATAATTTTCTACACATACATACAAAATTGTGGCACGCTCACATTTTATTTTTGTAATACTGCATTTGTTTTTGTTTTCAAACTTTAAGGTTGAAGGCAGTGTTAGCGTTTGTAACTGTAATGGGCCTTGAACATCTATATAAACTGAAGCAAAAGCTCTTAGAATAGAATACCTTGATAGTGTCCAAACTGAATGCCAATTTCCCCCGTAAGTCCTCCTCCGCCTCCAAATCACAGCCCCTTCCCCTTTTTTTCTTTGCAGAACAAACATGACCCCTTCATAAGGTTGCAAGGCCTTAAATTTTTAGCACTGGGATAGATTTCCAAAAACTTAAAAATACACACTGATTTCGGCAGCCTTTCTTATGAGCCACACTTAACATAGTTCACATAGTGAGTCGTTCTGTCATCGTTTCAGTCTTGCACGTAAGCAGCCAAGTATTTTCCTGATTATGCCACTGCTGATTGTGATTGATGGTTGAAAAGACTTTCCTCTGTGTTCTTCTTTTTGACATATTCCACTCTTCATACACGTGCAGTTCTATAAGCCTCCATGGGGTGTAAAGGGATGTTCTTTGACTTCAGACTTGGATTCTTAAAATAATGCTCAGTTTACTGACAGAGAAACCACCAGTTCTGTCAGTCTGTCTGGCTACCACAGAAACATTGTTATTGGCTGTTGCTCGGTTTGTGAGCACAGTTCAAGGCTCTGATGCTTGCTTTTAAAAATATATATATATATGCACATTTGGTTAGTCTCTAGATACTAGGGGCTGTTGCTCCTCTGTGCCTCCCCATGCATTTTGATCAGTGCTAGAACTAGAGGGAAGACTTTTAAAAGCTTTTATAGCATTTGTTGCTTTTCACAGTTGCACGTTTTATAACTTCTGCTGTTTTAGCTTAATTTTGATCTTTTTAGCTATGGTCATTGTTAAATGTCATGAGAATACTTGGAACTTCATGTTGAGAAGTATAGATATACAGTAGATATACAGTATGGTCACTTGCATTCTAGCTGTAAGATAACCAGAAGAGGAAGTAATGAGGATTAATTGGGGCTGGTGGGAAAGCCGGGCTCAGGGCCAGTCCGGCCCTGCCAGAGGATCCATGTTTGCACTGGCTTCTTCCGGTCTGTGAAGAGCTGTTTCTTTGTTCAGCTGTCACTGCCATCACTTTTTCCTGCTCCATGTTGTCATGCCACCCTGATGCATTTAAATCCTGGGGTTGTATCTTCTTACACCAGGACACATCACCTCTCCAGCACACTGTAGAATGACACTTTGGAAAGCAGGGGGTAGCTCCTGCAGCTATATTGGGGGTGGGTGGGTGCCCCTCCCTGGATTCCATGGAAAGAGAGAAGGACATGCTGGTATGAAGGCTGTCTGTAGTTGTCAAGTAGCTGCATTTGAGTCAGACCAACTAAAATTAGCTATAAAACGATCTTCACTCCACTTCTCCCAGCACACTTATCAGGGATCAGAAGAAGCCAGAGATTTCTCTGCGGCCCTGCTAACTTTCTTGCATTTGGTACGTAGGCATGTCTGTAATTGGAAAATGGCAATATATAACTATAGAGCAAGGGGCTTTATAGAACAAGGGGCTCTTACAACAGGTGGGAGAAAAATAATCTGTGTCTGGGCCTTGTGGTTTTACCTTCTTGGAGGCCAGGTAACCTAGGGCTGTTAGAATTTTTGATATCTTAAAAAAAAGAAGGGACATGCATTTTTAAAAACACTTTCCCATGTAATAGGAGAGGGCTGATGTGACAGCTAGCATTGACTTCGCTACCGTGTATCTGTGTCTTGAAAGAGGCTTTGGATGACTTAAACATGTGGAAAATGTTGCTACAGAGGGTTTAAGGGAGGATGAGATGTGGTCCTATATACTGCAGAAGTCTCTATTACTAGTGGGAGCAAATAGATACCTTTCAAGGGTGTGGGAAAGCTTTTTATGGCTAGGAATGTGCAGGAGACAGTGAGCAGCAGTTGAACATGTCTGTTAGTCATTAACCAAGAAATGGTCTTTTAATAAACTTGTACCCTAGTAAGAATGGCAATAGGAATCCCACTGCCACCAAAACAAGTTGTGTCAGGTACACAGGAATTGCCACTTCTTATAAACAGTCCATACTGTTGGAAATAAAATGTGCAGCAAGACTATTGATACAGTTGAATTATGTTCGCAATGGCTTGATTAGAACAAATTCAGATCACCATGTGAGTGTATACTGGTGTGGGGGTGGGGCTGCTAGGGTGAAAAATTAGCAATGTCTGCAGAACCTGGGGAATAATTGGTGGCACAGACTGCAGGGAGTCTTATGGCATCTAAAAGAGAACAACATTCATTTGCTGTGAGTTTTTGTGGGTTGTAGAAGTACTGCTTTCAATAAACCATAGGAGAAGAACTCTACTATATATATTTACATGTGTTAAAATGGCAAGTTGAGATCTTTTTTGGAAAAAAATGTATGCAGTGTTCATTAGCTGATGATACCACTTCAAAAACAGTTGTAGCTTTCTATCTAGGAGGTGTCCAGAGAAACAAATTATGTTTGTCTTTCCAGGTATCTCGCACAGTCTTGTGAAATGGACAAGAGTGCAGGCAGCAGCTGTGTGGGGTATAAAGCAGGGGTGGGCAAAAGATAGAGCAGGATCTACTGACAGATCTCTGGATGATTAGCAATAGATGAGTAGAGTTTTGTCTCCCAAATGTTTTGTGAGAGCAATTGACAAAATGACTCCTTTCTCACTGTCTCCTGCACATTCCTAGCTATGGTGAAATGAAAAAAAAAACTTGGGATAACCAACAGGGGATTTTTCTGTGGCATGAATGTGACCTCTATTCAATTCTGATACTTACTCCAATCTTTTTGGTACAGAATTCCTTATTTCTAAATGCAAGTGATTTGCAGCTTGCTCCAGTTGGTGAATTATAGAGTTCCAGTAAGAAAACATAAATAGTTCCCCTTCCCATTTCGACCATTTTCTGAGTAGGAAAACCATATATGTGCCTTGGTCTGGTCCAGTCCCAAATCTCTGCCTTACTGAGAAAATTTGGCTTGTAAATAATGAAATTCTTGGAATTAATTAGAAGGCCCTTTTGTACAGATGATATTACTGATACCTGTGGGCGAGTCCCAAAAGAGTTAAGGCACTTATGTGGTTATTTAATTTGTGTCACCATTCCTGTTATTACTGTAAATTGGTCCTAATCTGTATGGACTGGAGGGTCTCCTACATAAAATAATCTGGTTAAATTTCCCTATCCTGCTTCATGTACATTTTTGTCCATTTGTTTTCCCAGCTGCACGAAAAGCTGCAAAAATTCTGTGCTGCAAGGAAACGAGAGTGATGTCAACAGAGGATGATACTGGTGGGGAGGCATCCAGTGGCAGTTTTTGGGAGGTAAGAGAAGGGTAGGTGGAAGGTCACACACTCATTCATTGTGGATGTGGGAGGATGTGTTATGAGAAATACTAATTCCTTATAATCCCAGTATCTCGAGAAGGACGGGCAGTGACAGCGGACCTAGGGCAAGCTGACATCAGTTGCTGTTTTAAATGGTTCTACTATCTTTAGTGCCGTATAATAATAACAATTCTGGAATGTATGACTATGATAACACTCCCCTTTCCTTATGCCTTTTGGGAATTTGGGTGGGGTCCTAGATGGGAATATTGCTGTACTTCAGAAGCCTTCAAAAGGCTTGCCTGTTCTGTGTAGGAACATCATGAATTGCCTCTGAGTCTGCGGATAATTTTGAAAAAAGAATGACTGACGCCGCTGTCTAATTTCAGCCTGGCAACTACAAGCGAACAGTGAAACGGGTGGATGATGGAAGCCGGCTGTGTAATGACCTTGTCTCCTGCTTCCAGGAGAGAGCAAAAATTGAAAAGAACTATGCACAGCAACTAACAGACTGGTCTCGCAAGTGGAGGACTGCTGTGGAGAAGGGTATAGTGAAAAAGTCTTATTATTCCATAAGGGGCTCTTGATCTCTTTAGATAGGGCAGTAAACATTCTGTAAAGGGAAAACTGTTGCCTTTTGATATTCAGAGGCCTTTCTTAATCCACGAGGGAGTTTGCGTTGTCCCATGAGCTGAAACAAACAGTTCTGGAGATATAAGAGGCTCTGTACCATTTCCACTGGTAATCAGTTATACCGTACATGGAGCCATCATTTCAATTTTAAGTGTCCTGCAAGAAGTAGCTTTGTTAAATCAAGGATTCTGAGACTTGAGGAATTGCACACATGAAATTTGCGGAGTGAATTCTGAAGAGCAGGCTCCTCTTCTTAAGAAGAATATGTCCAGTGGCTTTTCAGCCATGAATAAGTGCCAGTTGTCCCAATTAGATAGGAAGACTAGCAGCCCACAGAACCTGGTTGGCAGGGAGAATTGTAGAAGGGAAAAAAACAGCAATCCCACACTACTTAGTGGGAAAGTTTTGTATGTTAAGTAGGCAATGGACAGCCTGGAGTGCTGGTTGGAAGACTGCCAGAATAAATCATATGGCAATCTTTTAGCAGGGTTCTAAAGGTGGCAAGTCAAACAAATTATTGTGGAACATAAACTAACTGGAATTCATTAGCACACAGATTGTGGTTATCCAGCGTTTGAACCCAACAAACCATCTGAATGAAAGTAGCCCCATATCAGCAGACTACTATCAACGTATATTCCACACAGCTTTCATTCCCTGGAGATCAAACCTGCCACAAGCAGTCGTAAGACAGATGACAGTGGCAGATGAAGACTGGCTTCTTAATCTAGTCCCTTTGTACCTGACATTACATTGCTACATGATCTTGCTTGTTCCTTTAGGCCCTCAATATGGCACTCTGGAAAAAGCCTGGCATTCATTCCTGACTGCTGCAGATAAACTTAGTGAGATCCACCTAGAGGTACGAAACCGCCTGGCAAGTGAAGACACAGATAAAATTAAGGCCTGGCAGAAGGAAGCCTACCACAAGCAGATGATTGGCGGGTTCAAAGAGACAAAAGAAGTAGAAGATGCATTTCGCAAGGCCCAGAAGCCTTGGGTGAAGAAGCTGAAGGACGTAAGTGAGAAGTCCAACCAGGGGATGGTTCTAATGAGAATATGAAAGATCCAGAGGATGGTTGGTCTGGAAACATAATTTCTTAATTAACTTTATGCTCTGTGACTTGCCAAGTGGCCAGACAGATCATTAACACCTTGCAGGTGTTCAGGCTCCTGCTGCTGGTTGTAGGTTGGGTGGTGTTGAGCTGTAATTTGATCTTGCAGTTGGCCAGACTGGTGACATCTGTAACCTTCTTTAGGTGTTCAGTTTGGACAAGTTGTGCTCTAATTGGATGCAATGCCATGCAGGCGATCTTCCCTCTTATACCTAAGTGTGTGCTTACCCCACCCTGTTGTTTCAGCCTTGCTGTGCTGAGAGGCAAAGTTTCAAAGGAAGTCTGCTTGCACTTATTTGAATACAAGTAGAATTATCCTGCATGAGTTGAGACTTTGACAGAGTGGGTCTACATTTGTACAAAGAATTCTACCTATGTTTGAGTGAACATAAGCATAACTCTCTTTAGACCTTGCTGTTCCATAGAACAAAGCAAAGCAAAACAAAAAAAGCAGAATGTGCTGCTTATACACTGCCGCATAGTGCTTAAAGCACTCTGTGGGCAGTTTACAGTTGAATTATGGAGGCTACACATTGCTGTCCCAGCAAGCTGGGTACTCGGTTTACCAACCTTGAAAGCATGGAAGCTTGTGTGAATCTCAAACTGGCTGCCTGGGATTGAACTTGGGTCATGGACAGAGTTTTGGCTCTTGGGAATGTGGTGGCAGTGCGCGTTAAATCACAGAAGCCTCTGTGCTGCAAGGTCAGAAGACCAGCAGTCGTAAGATCGAATCCACGCAACGGGGTGAGCTCCCATCACTTGTCCCAGCTCCTGCCAACCTAGCAGTTCGAAAGCATGTAAATGCAAGTAAATAAATAGGTACCACCATGGTGGGAAGGTAACGGTGTTCCATATCTAGTCGCACTGGCCACGTGGCCACAGAAACTGTCTTCAGACAAACGCTAGCTCTGTGGCTTGGAAAAGGGGATGAGCATTGCGACCTAGAGTCGGACACGACTGGACTAAATGTCAAGTGGAACCTTTACCTTTACTGCAGTTTAATTGCTGTGCTACAGGGCTTTAAGATCTACATTGAGGAGGTTTGTGATGCTCTGCACACTTACTCCTATTAATGCAAAGAGTATAACATGTGCACCTTGAATGTCTTAATATGGCATCTGTGGTTGCTGGACACAAGTCTTTTATCTGTTGCTGGCACAGGTTGAGGATCAGGTTTGGAAACTTTTTTTATGCTTCTGAATGCAGGAAAGGCGGTCTATCTCTACTTTTGGTGAAAAGCAGCTGTAAACAGCTTTCTGATACATTATTTGATATAATATCTGTGTTAGGTGGAAACAGCGAGAAAGAATTACCATGCTGCTCGTAAAGAAGAGAAGACTGCACAGACAAGAGAGAACCATGCCAAAGCAGATTCTTCTGTTTCACAAGAGCAGATGCGTAAACTTCAAGACCGTGTGGAAAGATGTGCACAAGAAGCAGAGAAGGTAAGCCACGTTGGAGGTGATGTTTGGACTACTGAGCATCTCTTGTCACAACATTTTAAATCAATGTAGGAAATGAGGTGGCTTACATTTGGATAAGTTGTAGCTGACAAAAGTTTATGGGTAAAGTAGGTACACGTGTCACTTTCTGGATCTTTTTCTCTTGTTGCGCCTTGATGAGGAGCTTCATAAAAAATGAGACCTCCAGGAATCAAAAACTGAATGTTTCAGAGCCCTCTTGTAAAATCCCATAGACTGAATGCAGCACAGGGAATTCTTTCATGTAAGAAAGCTGGATACGGACTGCTGGATAGCTCAGTGGTTTAGGTCACTGGTTCTTAACCTTGGGTTACTCAGGAGTTTTGGACTGCAACTCCCAGAAGCCTTCACCACCAGCTGTCCTGATTGGGGTTTCTGGGAGTTGCAGTTCAAAAGCATCCGAGTAACAAAGGTTAAGAACCACTGGTTTAGGTCTCTGGCTGCAGAGCCAGAGGTTGAGAGCTCAGTTCCCCCCACTGAGCCTCCTCAGTAGGAGCTGGACTCGATGATCCATAGAGTCTCTTCCAGCTCTGCAGTTCTAAGATGATGATGAAGTCATCCATAGTGTTCGCCCTCAAGTAATGAAATGACTAGAATGACAAGGAAGATGTGTCTTGAGCATGGGTCCAACCTCAGTCTCGTATCTTAAATAAAATGCACATCTAGACAGGATCTCCTGCTGAAGAGTTACTCACGCTTTTATACAGTGCAAGGAGCATTATGAGAAGATGCTGGAAGAACTGAACCGCTATAACCCTCGGTACATGGAGGATATGGAGCAGATCTTTGAAGGGTGTCAGGAAGCTGAGTGCAAACGCCTGTGCTTCTTTAAAGAGATGTTCTTGGATTTGCACAACCATCTCAACCTATCTACCAATGACAGGTATGTATGTGTCTGCGAGAGATCAGACTCCCATGAGAGTCTTTCTGGGCCTGATATAAATTGCTGTGGGGTAAAGGCAACTCCACATTTTTTTTTTTGCTTGTTCTGGCAAAAGGTCAAATCTCTCTTTGGTATAGAAACCTATCACAGTATCCATACAGCCTCCTGATCCACTGCACCAGTTCTACTCTCCAGTACAGTTTCTTATGCTTCTTGTGTGTTGTGTCATCCCCACTCCCCCATCAACTGTAGCTTCCATGCACTTTACCGGGATTTGCATCAGGGAATAGTGGCTGCAGATGACCAAGAGGATCTGAAGTGGTGGCGCAATACCCATGGGCCTGGCATGGCTATGAATTGGCCTCAATTTGAGGTAAGGTATTTCCTCCTAGCAGGAAGTTCCATTGAATCTGCTGTTCCTCGGGATATAAATTCAGTATTGTATATTATCATTTCACTGAAGTTGTTCATTGACCTGAACCTTATAATGTAGGTTCAGGGATGTGGCAGATGCTAGCACAAGAGCCTTGTTTACTACTTGTTGCCCTTGTCGTTCCTTGTGTCCTAAACTCTATATAACCTTGAGCAGCCTGGTATGTTGGATCAGGATGTATGAGTCTCTTAATATATGTGAGTGTACCGATAGCATTGCATCTTGGAAGTGCTGCTGCCTTATTATTTCATCATTAGTGTGATTTTATTAATCATTCCTTATCTGATGTCCAAATATAGTTTGACAGCGGCACAACACAAGAGAAGCTCTGCTGGTTCATACTAAAGATCTGTCTTGTCTAGTACCTTATTCCTGTAGTATCCAAACATGCCTGCTAGGACTCAGGCATGAGGGCAACAAATACCTACTGGACTCTGATTCTTACTGAAGAGAAAGGGAGGGGAGCAAGGCATTCTCGGGCCGAGGGGATCAGGAGCCGCTTAGCCTGCCCTTGCTGTCACCCATCCATGATTTCTATAACTGCTTTCCTTTAGATGGGATTGCTCTGTGTGAGGACTTGAAAGGGGAATAAGTAGGGAGATAGTAGTTTTTTTTCTTTGTGATAGGAGAGAAAGTCCAGGTTTTGATAGATTTCAGTAGTTCCTCACAGTTCATTTTAGCAATTTATCATTTTTTCTGATGTGGTTTTGAATGGCAGTGTATAAAAAAAAAATCCTGTTTTATGTAAAACGAAAATAGAGACTCAGTCCTGTCACATCTTGGGGTTTTGTTTTTTTGTTTTTTACTTTGGGTAGAGGAGCCATTAAGATAATTTTCAGACCATTTATTGAAGTCAGGGACTAATATATTTCTCCCTTCAGGAATGGTCTTTGGAGACACAGCGAGCAATCAGCAAGAAGGAGAAAAGTGGCAAAGGTGATGAAGATGTTACCTTGACCAGCATTGTGCCAGCTGGAGATGGTATGAAACAGACCCCTCCACCAACAAAGCAAAGGTAAGACTCACAGCCAGGGAGCAAGGAGGCCAGTCATACTGGCAAGATTTAGAACTCATCCCAAACGGATGTACATTTTTAAATGCCCTCTGTTTCCATCAAATGTTAATTGGAAATCTTATTCAGTGGGCTAGTCAATGGGTAACTGGCACAAGATTACACACAGGAAAAGAGTGCAGGAATTTATGACTTTCTGATGCTTGTCTCGCAAGACGTGCTGCAGTGCAGTCCCTGTTTTGTTCATGTGAATATCTGTGGAAGAAGAGGACTGTGGCCATGTCTTATCTCTTTCCTAGTTTAAAGGGCTTATTTGCCAATCCACAGGTTTACATACCAAGAGGAACAAAACAGCCACTTCTATGACACCTTGAAGGCCTCAGCCTGTATGAAGTTAGTATGAAACTAAGACTTCTTAGGATGCTTTTCCTCTTGCCTTGCTCTTTTGTGGATTCATAACACTGTCCCATTGAAGAGCACAGTAGCCACTGCCTCTTCTTTTCCTCCCAAATGGACATAACCACTTTACCTCTATCTTGCTATCATCTGGAATCACTTGGGTCTCTTTAACTTATTCATTTTCAGAATTTGTTCCAATTTCCAGAAAGATAATATTGTTGCCATTCTGCCAGTTCTCTTGCTGTTTTCCAAGCAAGGGCAATAGAAATGTCAGTATATTATCACTTTCTTTTCATCTTTTGCCTCTTCCTCATACTTAAGTGCATGAAACTGCATGATTTGGGGATAGAGCACTTTTTAAAAATGGCACATGCACGTTCACAGCTGTCTTCCTTTCCTGTTTTTCTGTCTCTTCCTTGGTAGTGGAGGGAAGGAAGAAATCTCAGAGTGGTCAGATGAAGACACTCCCAAGAAGGGCCTGGAGGTCAATGGGCATGAGGATATAAAGGTACCAGGCGTGCGGGTGCGAGCACTGTATGATTACACAGGACAAGAGGCTGATGAGCTGAGCTTTAAAGCAGGTACAAATGCACTAACCTTCTAACTGCTTGCAATTGTGTTTTGAAGCCAGTGGGTGAAAAGTTCTCAGTAAGATCTGGATGGCCCCGTGACTATTTTGATCAGACACTTTGGGTTCTCAAAGGGGATGTCACAGTATCTCAGTTGTGTAGAAAGGCAGAAACATGCCAGGAACCCATCTTGGGAAATCTGACTTGAGAATCTATGAAAGAGAATCACAGTTGTTTCAAGCAGCTATTTCTAAGACATCTTGTGTCTAGATGGGCTGCATGCTCACCACTTGGGTTGATTTTGATTTTTATGCATAATAATCAGTGTTTCAGTCTTCTGGGACAATGTTCTCTTATTCACAGTGACAAAAGTAGAACCAGAAGTGAAACTGATACAGAACATGGTAACAGGAATCTTCCATTGAGAGCTGGAAAGCGCTGGAGCTGAATTTGCAATACTGTGTGCCTAACCAGATGTAGAAAGGCAATGATTTCTTGCCACCAGTAACAAAAACTGATCATTAATGATTCCATTCATCCTCCTTTGGATGTTGGGTGGTAAGAAACCTACATGGCTGTGGTCTGCTTTTTACGTAGCTGGCAGATACAGACTGCATTATCGCAGGATCACATACATTCAGTACTAAATCTCAGCTATTGTCTTATGGATGTTCATGATCTGATCCCATGCAGAAATATTATCGTATGCCACCTGTTTTGTAGTTAGGAGCACATACACAGGGGCGATCTGGATCTTGGAAGTGTGTTTCATTCATGCTTTTAAAAAACCTTAATTTTTCAGAATTGTGAAGTTTATTTCTTTTCCAAGTATTAAAATCTTTCAAATGAATATAGCAACTGCATGAAATCTGTGTCTGGGTTACTTAAGTTATCACAATTAAAACCTGTTCATGTGCATGCATAGTGATATAATTCAAACTAGAGTACCCAAGAAGTCTTGGTAGTGTAACTGTTGAGACAGGATGGTGCAAGAGGCAGAAACAAACCAGTTTTGGGTTGTCATTTCTTCACTCCCAAATTCTGCCTTGTCAAAAAGGAGGATTAGAGTGAAGTAATCCTGTCAGTGGGACGTGGTAGCACTGTGGGTTAAACCGCAGAAGCCTCTGTGTTGCAAGGTCAGAAGACCAGCAGATGCAAAATCGAATCCACACAACCAAATGAGCTCCCATCACTTGTTCCAGCTCCTGCCAACCTAGCAGTTTGAAAGCATGTAAAAATGCGAGTAGATAAATAGCTACCACCTTGGTGGGAAGGTAATGGCGTTCTGTGTCTAGTCGCGCTGGCCACGTGACCACAGAAACTGTCTACAGGTTCTATAGCTTGGAGATGGGGATGAACACCACGCCCTAAAGTCAGACACGACTGGACTAAATGTCAAGGGGAACCTTTACCTTTTTAATCCTGTCAGGAGTGCTAAGCCCATGTTTTCCCCCCTATCCTGCCTATCCTGTTTCTTCTGTGGGTAGAGATAACAGAGGAAGAAACACTTAAAAAAAACACACACACACAACCCTCTGATTTGCTTCAGGCCTTATTACATTTAATGCTAACTAAATAAATTAATCTCTGGTCAAAGAACAATTAATCCATTCCAGTTTTGCTCTGCAAACTTTAAAGCTTATGGGAAATGGATCACTTCCTCTTTTGAAACTTATTGGTACACTGAAGACATAGTTTCCCCAAATCATTACTATCTTAATTTGTATTCATATTCTTCATGTGGCATGTTGGCCCATCTCACAGTGCAGACTATCTTAAAATTGGCATCTCTCCTTGAACACAGAGTTGGAGGGGAAAAGTGAGGGTTTTTTAAATGCATTTTCTGTTATTTCTAACTAATCACTTGACTAATTGCTGTGTTGGAATTCTGCATGGCTCATAGTAGACTGTGCAGTATGAATCTGTTGATGATATAGATACTGCAAAGGAAGCAGGGACTTAGAAACATCTCTCAGCCTCTAATTTTCAAGAGTTAAATGTATTTTAAGCTGTTCCTCTGTAGAATTGCTTTCTACTGAAATTTTGCAGAAGTCTTTGCCACTCCATTCTACTACTCCATCCATTTTGATTCTCCCCTTTTCTGTTTCTGTGGAATGGCTGCTTCTAGAGAGCTCCTTCCATCTCTTGCTCCATCACTCTTCTTGATTTGGGCTTCCCTCTACCCACTTTTTCCTACCACATCCCTTCTTTGTGTCTCTCCCAGCCTCTATGAAATTGGGTGAAGGGCTGTGTGCAGCCTGGGTGTCTGTGTGTCACAGGTTGTTGAGTCCTGCTTTAAGGAATGTACCTGAGTCTCTTTCAAATAATGCCCTTACTTTGAGTTTACTAGTTATCTTTATTTTTCCATCTAGGAGAAGAGCTCATGAAGATCAGTGAAGAGGATGAACAGGGTTGGTGCAAAGGCCGGCTCCAGAATGGTCAGGTTGGACTATATCCTGCTAACTATGTGGAGAAAGTCATTTCATGATTACTTTCCCCATTGCCACTACCTTATGATGTGCAGCCTGAGTGTAACTTCTTCAGAGGTCACAAAAATCTGTGGCCTCCAACTTGCATCAAAAATCGTGTGCAACCAATCTGGACCTTTTTGAGGACATTCTCTTCTTGTAACCAGTACATAATTTTAAACATCTAGAAATATGGTGATCTTTTTTTCTAATAAAGATACACAAACTTTTTTTAATCTCCTGTGTGCTGTTAGGGATTTAAAGCAGAGAAGGGCTCCTAAGCAGCAGAATACTCAACTTTTTTTTAAAGTGATGAGTGATTGTAATAAGTCAGTTGTCTACCAGTGGATCAAGTAGATTTTTTCATGGATCTCGTACACCACTAGCTGTTGCCTTGAAAGCAAACATTAAAAGATTTTTAAAAACAAAGTACAAAATTATAGATTCCTATGTCAGTGTTAATTTAGCCATACTAATTGCATGCCCACCAAAATAATTTTGACAAACACCTATTTTGGTTGTTTACTCTTCAGATCTTGGTATTTGATTTCAGATATTACAGAAACCAACGCTATAAAGGAAAATTAACACTTATCTTTATCAAACCATTCGACCAAAATATTGTTTGAAAGCCCCTTCAAATTATGCTTTCTGATATCTAGTTTGTTTTGCTGACTACTGGTTCATCAGTTTAGACATCACATTAAACCATAGTTCATGCAATTATTTCAAGTGAGCTTCAGAGTGTATAAACTCTTCCTGGTCCCAGTGATCATGCAGCAAATGGAACTGTTATGTATATTTCTATTCAGACATGGCAAGAAAAAGATTCAGAACTTCTGTCATGAGCAAACCAAACTGTGATCAGATCTGGGAGGTGCATACAGAGGTCTAAAGATGGTACATACTGATTCCTGGTCTTTGAAGGGTTTTTACTGCAATCCCTATAATTTTGTTATAAAAACCATGGAGTGTTCTTTCACTGAAAAAAAAAATCCCCTTGTGCCATGTAAGAACCTGTGTGGTTTGTTTGTTTGTTTATTAATCCAGCTGGGTGTCCCTCAAAAAATGGTAAAGTTGCTCCCTGTGTGACCTAGAAAACAAATATAATGGGACTGCTTAAGATAAACCATTTTTCAGAAAAAAAAATGTGAGAGGCAAATATTGCCCATTCTTTGCTTGGAACCTGATTTGCCAAAACTGCTGTTCCATACAGCCAGATGAAATGCAAAATGTTACAAATTGAGAATAGAAGTTTCAAGTCTCATTCTGTTACATGTGAAGTATGTGTTCAAACTCCTCTCTCAGCACAAAGTAACCCACACATAATTTCAAATGGAGAAAGGAAAAAAATATTGAGCAAATGCCACATGTCTAGAAGGGTAGGGGCTGTGGTGAAGAAAAGAACATAGCGTGGAAGCCTTGAACTATAACACCAAAAATTTTCTGTCTATCCAGAACTTACCCTGACTGTGATTTATAATGGGCAGCGTTATGTAAACTGGAGATATAAATGCTCTGGGCTTGTTGTTTTTTCTTAGTTTTGGCTGCAACATTTTGTCATGATAGTGCAAGACAAAGTCTGAATATCCTTGCTGGACGTAAGAAATCTCATATCTCTGATCACAAGTGTACAGTGGAAACGTCTGCTCCAATTGAAGAAGTGAGCTATCAATTTGCATTTAATGCCAATGGTTTATATAAAATACCTTCATGAATGCCCAGGCCAACAGAATTAGGAATAGTGAAGGTACATTGCCTTTCTGAATAAAAAGGAGAAAAGATAGCATATACAGGAGTGTTCAGAGGATGGCACCTAGTTCCTACACAGCCTGTGTGGCCTTGGGCAAGCAGCACAGTCCCAGAATGCCCCTCACCTGAAGAAGGGAACAGCAAAGAGTACACTTCTGAGTACTCTCTACCTTGAAAACCTTGAAAAGGGTCACAATTGGTCAGAATAAACCTGTTAACAAGTTAGGATGATAGTGTAAATGCAGGGCCTGAAGGGGATGTGTTCCTTTAAGATCATTTTCACTCATTGGATTGAGGCTAGATCAGCACTGGGAAAACATCTGCGTCTGATAACAGATGCATATCTGAGAGTTTGGAAGTATTTCTCTTTTTGGACTACCACATTCAGAACAGAACAGCCGGTCATGGCCAATGGCTGAATGATTACAGATGCAGTGACCCTACAAAAAGCAGAGCGCTGCAGGCGGTGTCACATTTTGGCTGTTAAAGTTGCCTTCTCCTGTGGCCTTCCTACAGAGCTGAGGTGCTATTTTAGAGAATATCACTGCTAGGCAGAGGAACACTTAGGGCTGTGAGGCCACAGACCAGTGGCTGTAGTTGGCATCTTACACAGCAGACGAGCTTAGCCCCATATGGCTGAAGGGTTGCAACAGGTGCAGGTTTGTCGAAATCTGGAGCACAGCTGTTGCAACAAGTAATCATTCATCCCTGTTCTGTTTACTGACCTGGCCCAAGGCTTCAGCCACTTGCTGTCAGACGCTGCTTGCCAACAGGCAAAGGTCAGCACAGCACTCTGATTTTGACTGTCGCCTTAGCTTTGCTTCAGCAGAAAAGGGTGGGGCTCAGCTGGCAACAGGCAGCTCTTGGTAATCGCCAGTGGAGAATGGAGGGAGAGGGCAACATGTTGGGGGACCTAGTTAGTGAAAAGATTGTGGGTTCCTGAAACTTTGGCACTGAAACTATATTTAAAATAGAAAAATTTTAATCTCTCCAAATTTACGGGTATAAAAATCCTTCTCCCTTATTTTACTCATGCAATTTGATGAAGGATTGTGCAAAATTCAAGTTTGCTCACTATTTTGTGATAGTGATGCCTGATCATACCTTTCAGAGGTGGTATAATCTACATCTTTGACCACAACATCCAGAACTACTCCACCTATTCTGCAACTGATTTGCTGCCTGAGAGATGCTGCATGTCACAGTCCAAAAGGTAACTTTTTCCGGTTTTAGTGTAAGTTTGCTAATTAGAGTGAGATACTCATATAAAATCTATGCATACTACTATTTGTTTAAAAACTTTAGCAACAACAACAGAAAGGAAGTGGTGATTCAGTTTTATAATACTCTTATGATTAAGGGACGACTTTCAATACTTACCTGTAAAATTGCAGTTTATTCTACCTTATCACCTCGGATGTACATTTTTAAATGCCCTCTGTTTCCATCAAATGTTAATTGGAAATCTTATTCAGTGGGCTAGTCAATGGGTAACTGGCACAAGATTACACACAGGAAAAGAGTGCAGGAATTTATGACTTTCTGATGCTTGTCTCGCAAGACGTGCTGCAGTGCAGTCCCTGTTTTGTTCATGTGAATATCTGTGGAAGAAGAGGACTGTGGCCATGTCTTATCTCTTTCCTAGTTTAAAGGGCTTATTTGCCAATCCACAGGTTTACATACCAAGAGGAACAAAACAGCCACTTCTATGACACCTTGAAGGCCTCAGCCTGTATGAAGTTAGTATGAAACTAAGACTTCTTAGGATGCTTTTCCTCTTGCCTTGCTCTTTTGTGGATTCATAACACTGTCCCATTGAAGAGCACAGTAGCCACTGCCTCTTCTTTTCCTCCCAAATGGACATAACCACTTTACCTCTATCTTGCTATCATCTGGAATCACTTGGGTCTCTTTAACTTATTCATTTTCAGAATTTGTTCCAATTTCCAGAAAGATAATATTGTTGCCATTCTGCCAGTTCTCTTGCTGTTTTCCAAGCAAGGGCAATAGAAATGTCAGTATATTATCACTTTCTTTTCATCTTTTGCCTCTTCCTCATACTTAAGTGCATGAAACTGCATGATTTGGGGATAGAGCACTTTTTAAAAATGGCACATGCACGTTCACAGCTGTCTTCCTTTCCTGTTTTTCTGTCTCTTCCTTGGTAGTGGAGGGAAGGAAGAAATCTCAGAGTGGTCAGATGAAGACACTCCCAAGAAGGGCCTGGAGGTCAATGGGCATGAGGATATAAAGGTACCAGGCGTGCGGGTGCGAGCACTGTATGATTACACAGGACAAGAGGCTGATGAGCTGAGCTTTAAAGCAGGTACAAATGCACTAACCTTCTAACTGCTTGCAATTGTGTTTTGAAGCCAGTGGGTGAAAAGTTCTCAGTAAGATCTGGATGGCCCCGTGACTATTTTGATCAGACACTTTGGGTTCTCAAAGGGGATGTCACAGTATCTCAGTTGTGTAGAAAGGCAGAAACATGCCAGGAACCCATCTTGGGAAATCTGACTTGAGAATCTATGAAAGAGAATCACAGTTGTTTCAAGCAGCTATTTCTAAGACATCTTGTGTCTAGATGGGCTGCATGCTCACCACTTGGGTTGATTTTGATTTTTATGCATAATAATCAGTGTTTCAGTCTTCTGGGACAATGTTCTCTTATTCACAGTGACAAAAGTAGAACCAGAAGTGAAACTGATACAGAACATGGTAACAGGAATCTTCCATTGAGAGCTGGAAAGCGCTGGAGCTGAATTTGCAATACTGTGTGCCTAACCAGATGTAGAAAGGCAATGATTTCTTGCCACCAGTAACAAAAACTGATCATTAATGATTCCATTCATCCTCCTTTGGATGTTGGGTGGTAAGAAACCTACATGGCTGTGGTCTGCTTTTTACGTAGCTGGCAGATACAGACTGCATTATCGCAGGATCACATACATTCAGTACTAAATCTCAGCTATTGTCTTATGGATGTTCATGATCTGATCCCATGCAGAAATATTATCGTATGCCACCTGTTTTGTAGTTAGGAGCACATACACAGGGGCGATCTGGATCTTGGAAGTGTGTTTCATTCATGCTTTTAAAAAACCTTAATTTTTCAGAATTGTGAAGTTTATTTCTTTTCCAAGTATTAAAATCTTTCAAATGAATATAGCAACTGCATGAAATCTGTGTCTGGGTTACTTAAGTTATCACAATTAAAACCTGTTCATGTGCATGCATAGTGATATAATTCAAACTAGAGTACCCAAGAAGTCTTGGTAGTGTAACTGTTGAGACAGGATGGTGCAAGAGGCAGAAACAAACCAGTTTTGGGTTGTCATTTCTTCACTCCCAAATTCTGCCTTGTCAAAAAGGAGGATTAGAGTGAAGTAATCCTGTCAGTGGGACGTGGTAGCACTGTGGGTTAAACCGCAGAAGCCTCTGTGTTGCAAGGTCAGAAGACCAGCAGATGCAAAATCGAATCCACACAACCAAATGAGCTCCCATCACTTGTTCCAGCTCCTGCCAACCTAGCAGTTTGAAAGCATGTAAAAATGCGAGTAGATAAATAGCTACCACCTTGGTGGGAAGGTAATGGCGTTCTGTGTCTAGTCGCGCTGGCCACGTGACCACAGAAACTGTCTACAGGTTCTATAGCTTGGAGATGGGGATGAACACCACGCCCTAAAGTCAGACACGACTGGACTAAATGTCAAGGGGAACCTTTACCTTTTTAATCCTGTCAGGAGTGCTAAGCCCATGTTTTCCCCCCTATCCTGCCTATCCTGTTTCTTCTGTGGGTAGAGATAACAGAGGAAGAAACACTTAAAAAAAACACACACACACAACCCTCTGATTTGCTTCAGGCCTTATTACATTTAATGCTAACTAAATAAATTAATCTCTGGTCAAAGAACAATTAATCCATTCCAGTTTTGCTCTGCAAACTTTAAAGCTTATGGGAAATGGATCACTTCCTCTTTTGAAACTTATTGGTACACTGAAGACATAGTTTCCCCAAATCATTACTATCTTAATTTGTATTCATATTCTTCATGTGGCATGTTGGCCCATCTCACAGTGCAGACTATCTTAAAATTGGCATCTCTCCTTGAACACAGAGTTGGAGGGGAAAAGTGAGGGTTTTTTAAATGCATTTTCTGTTATTTCTAACTAATCACTTGACTAATTGCTGTGTTGGAATTCTGCATGGCTCATAGTAGACTGTGCAGTATGAATCTGTTGATGATATAGATACTGCAAAGGAAGCAGGGACTTAGAAACATCTCTCAGCCTCTAATTTTCAAGAGTTAAATGTATTTTAAGCTGTTCCTCTGTAGAATTGCTTTCTACTGAAATTTTGCAGAAGTCTTTGCCACTCCATTCTACTACTCCATCCATTTTGATTCTCCCCTTTTCTGTTTCTGTGGAATGGCTGCTTCTAGAGAGCTCCTTCCATCTCTTGCTCCATCACTCTTCTTGATTTGGGCTTCCCTCTACCCACTTTTTCCTACCACATCCCTTCTTTGTGTCTCTCCCAGCCTCTATGAAATTGGGTGAAGGGCTGTGTGCAGCCTGGGTGTCTGTGTGTCACAGGTTGTTGAGTCCTGCTTTAAGGAATGTACCTGAGTCTCTTTCAAATAATGCCCTTACTTTGAGTTTACTAGTTATCTTTATTTTTCCATCTAGGAGAAGAGCTCATGAAGATCAGTGAAGAGGATGAACAGGGTTGGTGCAAAGGCCGGCTCCAGAATGGTCAGGTTGGACTATATCCTGCTAACTATGTGGAGAAAGTCATTTCATGATTACTTTCCCCATTGCCACTACCTTATGATGTGCAGCCTGAGTGTAACTCCTTCAGAGGTCACAAAAATCTGTGGCCTCCAACTTGCATCAAAAATCGTGTGCAACCAATCTGGACCTTTTTGAGGACATTCTCTTCTTGTAACCAGTACATAATTTTAAACATCTAGAAATATGGTGATCTTTTTTTCTAATAAAGATACACAAACTTTTTTTAATCTCCTGTGTGCTGTTAGGGATTTAAAGCAGAGAAGGGCTCCTAAGCAGCAGAATACTCAACTTTTTTTTAAAGTGATGAGTGATTGTAATAAGTCAGTTGTCTACCAGTGGATCAAGTAGATTTTTTCATGGATCTCGTACACCACTAGCTGTTGCCTTGAAAGCAAACATTAAAAGATTTTTAAAAACAAAGTACAAAATTATAGATTCCTATGTCAGTGTTAATTTAGCCATACTAATTGCATGCCCACCAAAATAATTTTGACAAACACCTATTTTGGTTGTTTACTCTTCAGATCTTGGTATTTGATTTCAGATATTACAGAAACCAACGCTATAAAGGAAAATTAACACTTATCTTTATCAAACCATTCGACCAAAATATTGTTTGAAAGCCCCTTCAAATTATGCTTTCTGATATCTAGTTTGTTTTGCTGACTACTGGTTCATCAGTTTAGACATCACATTAAACCATAGTTCATGCAATTATTTCAAGTGAGCTTCAGAGTGTATAAACTCTTCCTGGTCCCAGTGATCATGCAGCAAATGGAACTGTTATGTATATTTCTATTCAGACATGGCAAGAAAAAGATTCAGAACTTCTGTCATGAGCAAACCAAACTGTGATCAGATCTGGGAGGTGCATACAGAGGTCTAAAGATGGTACATACTGATTCCTGGACTTTGAAGGGTTGTTACTGCAATCCCTATAATTTTGTTATAAAAACCATGGAGTGTTCTTTCACTGAAAAAAAAATCCCCTTGTGCCATGTAAGAACCTGTGTGGTTTGTTTGTTTGTTTATTAATCCAGCTGGGTGTCCCTCAAAAAATGGCAAAGTTGCTCCCTGTGTGACCTAGAAAACAAATATAATGGGACTGCTTAAGATAAACCATTTTTCAGAAAAAAAAATGTGAGAGGCAAATATTGCCCATTCTTTGCTTGGAACCTGATTTGCCAAAACTGCTGTTCCATACAGCCAGATGAAATGCAAAATGTTACAAATTGAGAATAGAAGTTTCAAGTCTCATTCTGTTACATGTGAAGTATGTGTTCAAACTCCTCTCTCAGCACAAAGTAACCCACACATAATTTCAAATGGAGAAAGGAAAAAAATATTGAGCAAATGCCACATGTCTAGAAGGGTAGGGGCTGTGGTGAAGAAAAGAACATAGCGTGGAAGCCTTGAACTGTAACACCAAAAATTTTCTGTCTATCCAGAACTTACCCTGACTGTGATTTATAATGGGCAGCGTTATGTAAACTGGAGATATAAATGCTCTGGGCTTGTTGTTTTTTCTTAGTTTTGGCTGCAACATTTTGTCATGATAGTGCAAGACAAAGTCTGAATATCCTTGCTGGACGTAAGAAATCTCATATCTCTGATCACAAGTGTACAGTGGAAACGTCTGCTCCAATTGAAGAAGTGAGCTATCAATTTGCATTTAATGCCAATGGTTTATATAAAATACCTTCATGAATGCCCAGGCCAACAGAATTAGGAATAGTGAAGGTACATTGCCTTTCTGAATAAAAAGGAGAAAAGATAGCATATACAGGAGTGTTCAGAGGATGGCACCTAGTTCCTACACAGCCTGTGTGGCCTTGGGCAAGCAGCACAGTCCCAGAATGCCCCTCACCTGAAGAAGGGAACAGCAAAGAGTACACTTCTGAGTACTCTCTACCTTGAAAACCTTGAAAAGGGTCACAATTGGTCAGAATAAACCTGATAACAAGTTAGGATGATGGTGTAAATGCAGGGCCTGAAGGGGATGTGTTCCTTTAAGATCATTTTCACTCATTGGATTGAGGCTAGATCAGCACTGGGAAAACATCTGCGTCTGATAACAGATGCATATCTGAGAGTTTGGAAGTATTTCTCTTTTTGGACTACCACATTCAGAACAGAACAGCCGGTCATGGCCAATGGCTGAATGATTACAGATGCAGTGACCCTACAAAAAGCAGAGCGCTGCAGGCGGTGTCACATTTTGGCTGTTAAAGTTGCCTTCTCCTGTGGCCTTCCTACAGAGCTGAGGTGCTATTTTAGAGAATATCACTGCTAGGCAGAGGAACACTTAGGGCTGTGAGGCCACAGACCAGTGGCTGTAGTTGGCATCTTACACAGCAGACGAGCTTAGCCCCATATGGCTGAAGGGTTGCAACAGGTGCAGGTTTGTCGAAATCTGGAGCACAGCTGTTGCAACAAGTAATCATTCATCCCTGTTCTGTTTACTGACCTGGCCCAAGGCTTCAGCCACTTGCTGTCAGACGCTGCTTGCCAACAGGCAAAGGTCAGCACAGCACTCTGATTTTGGCTGTCGCCTTAGCTTTGCTTCAGCAGAAAAGGGTGGGGCTCAGCTGGCAACAGGCAGCTCTTGGTAATCGCCAGTCTGAGTACTCGGGAGAGGGCAACATGTTGGGGGACCTAGTTAGTGAAAAGATTGTGGGTTCCTGAAACTTTGGCACTGAAACTATATTTAAAATAGAAAAATTTTAATCTCTCCAAATTTACGGGTATAAAAATCCTTCTCCCTTATTTTACTCATGCAATTTGATGAAGGATTGTGCAAAATTCAAGTTTGCTCACTATTTTGTGATAGTGATGCCTGATCATACCTTTCAGAGGTGGTATAATCTACATCTTTGACCACAACATCCAGAACTACTCCACCTATTCTGCAACTGATTTGCTGCCTGAGAGATGCTGCATGTCACAGTCCAAAAGGTAACTTTTTCCGGTTTTAGTGTAAGTTTGCTAATTAGAGTGAGATACTCATATAAAATCTATGCATACTACTATTTGTTTAAAAACTTTAGCAACAACAACAGAAAGGAAGTGGTGATTCAGTTTTATAATACTCTTATGATTAAGGGACTTACAACTTTCAGTACTTACCTGTAAAATTGCAGTTTATTCTACCTTATCACCTCAAAGGAGCATATCAGCATTTCTGAAGCAGAAGTGCTCACGTGGCATTCCTTCAACAAAATCAGGCTAGAGGGACACAGTATTTTTCTCACTTGAGATTTTGCTCTCCTTCTGTAACAGAAGCTGTCAGTTGTTGTTTAGTCATTATGTTGTGTCCGTCTCTTCGTGACCCCATGGACCAGAGCACGCCAGGCCCTCCTATCTTCCACAGACTTTGGTCAAATTCATGTTGGTTGCTTCGATGACACTGTCCAGCCATCTCATCCTCTCTCGTCCCCTTCTCCTCTTGCCTTCACACTTTCCCAACATCAGGGTCTTTTCCAGGGAGTCTTCTCTTCTCATGAGATGGCCAAAGTATTGGAACCTCAGCTTCAGGATCTGTCCTTCCAGTGAGTACTCAGGGTTGAGAAGCTGCCAGTAGCCACTACCTTCTCTTCCAGATCACTTGCATTCAGATCATTTCCTGCTGTTCTCCAATAAAGTACAACACAATGGAATCGATACCAAAATTCCATTTGGGAACACACACACACACAAAATCCAAAGGTCACCTTGTGGAATGTGCCGCTAGTTTATCCCCAACTGTATGAGACTTGCTGCAGGTCGTGGTGGGGGCAGGGTGGGGAACTCAGCGCTGATTTGGAGATTCTCACACTTGAGCTGCTTTTTTATTCCAAAATAATTCTGACAATCAAGCATGCCCTCAAGCTGTACCACAGGACTTGTGTTTCCCAGAACAACCAATAATTTAAAAAAAACCCCATCCTATTACACAGTTTAGAGAACCTGCCTGAATCAAACTAAATGCTTGTGTAATGCCCAACAACATGATAGGCCCTGGAAGCAATAAAATAATTTATTCCTTGGTTGACTGGAACAACCCCTACAATTATGCAAATCCCTCCTGCCACCTGGCCCCACGTGTGTACAGTATTTATACACACCTAACCAGCTTTCTGCAGCAATTCCAACTGAAGGTTGGCTATGGAAGTGCTATTCAGCATAATTGTTCAGCTTGGGTCTCCCTGTCTCTGTTTTGCCCAGCTGCAAACAGCCAAGAGCACAGGGGTCTGAAGGCTGCCTGCCATTCAGTCACAGTGCTATAAATGATCTCTCCAAGCCGGCTCCTTCAAACCACCTTGTACCATTCCATGAGTTCAAGCGTTTGCTGGCACCAGCACTTTCTGGAGCCGTTTGCTTTCTTCATGCTTTGGTCACAGTCAGTCTCCTTCAGAAGGTGACATTTTTGAGTCCTTGATGTGGACTGTGGTCCTTGCACTGCTTTCAGCCACACGCACAGGAAGGTCCGCACAAGTGCCTGCAACAGAGTGACATAATGGTTGCAAACTAGAGAGTTGCTGTCAGATAGGTGATCGGTGAGGGATGAGAAAAGATGAGGTTCGTCACTCACATCTGCCAAGATGGCCAGCTCCTGTGCTAAATGCCCAGGGTATCTGGGGTCTCCAGAAAAGCCAAGAGCCTGCTTTGCTCTGCGAACCACTCTCTGCACAGACTTTGCTGGAAGATACCTTCCTCCTTTGCTCTCCACACACATCAGGGCGCCGCCTGCAGGCGCCTCCGTACAAGGGCGCAAAAGGGCCGTGCGACACTCAGCACAGGGCAACAGTGGCAATAGCTTCTCCAAAACAGCACATGAAATGTTGGTGATTATGTCTTCTTCTAACTCAGCTAAAAAGCCTGGGGCTATGAAAAAACTGTTTGTACCTTGGGGAAGCCTGGACTGCAACTGTAACTGCCAGATTTTTCCCTGCCTGGCAGGCCAGGAGGCCTGCAACTGGAGGCTAGCCCGTCTGCTCAGTGATACATCCAGCAGGTTTGGTGGATCAAAGCCCAGAGTAGACACAGCCCTGCTTAAGACAAGCCTGTAAGCTTGCTGGAAAGACCCAGCTGTAGCAAAGTCTTTGCACCTGCACACTTGCCGTATGGATCCTCTGCACCACTCCAGAGGGTCCAGGGTCCACCAGCACGGGAGCAAATAGGTGATTTGGTTGTCTCCTGCCTGGAGATAAGTCTGCAGCAGCCCCTGAAAGCTACGCAGGTTT